CTCCATTACATTCATTTTCTCCATTACATTCATTTTCTCCATTACATTCATTTTCTCCATTACATTCATTTTCTCCATTACATTCATTTTCTCCACCATCATCTTCAAAAATTGTAGATGTTGTACGAATTATATACCATTCTTTTAAAGCACTATTCTTCATTAGTTTATTAGATCGTGAAATTTTATTTAAAGCCTTGGAACTTGAATCAAGTTTGTTTAAATTTTGTTCAATGCCTTTTCGATCATTATTTTTCAAACATTTTATTAACCCAGAATAAAATTCATTCAATGCATTTGTTGCTCTAATTATTCTAAAAAAATATATTTATATCAGATATAATTAAAATTAAAATCAAAAGAGTAAATTTCAATTGGTAATAAATCAATTATATAAATACTTATTAACAACAGTTAGATCACTAAGACAATTAAATGTTCGACTCATAAGTTTGTTTGTTGATTTCACTTGTATATTTTTTTAAAAAAGAAAATGTACATAATTAAAAAAATAATTTTTTAGCAGAAATTAAATGATTAATTAAATTAAATGATTTTACATACCATAACAATATCGATAAATAACTGTTAAGAAATAGACATAACCAATAATATATTTATTTAGTATGTTTTTTAAGAGCCTTTTTTGATTGCCTTCAAGCCAATTCTGATAAAATTGTGCAAGATTTGTCAAATTTTCACGCATATCAAGTGTTTCTTTTTTAATTTCATCAGTGCTAAAATGAACGCAGCCAGATGATGATGCATTATTAAAAACATCTAGAAGAATGTCATGAACCAAACTTATTGATGAAACTGGGTTATTAATATCCATAGCTAATGATGATTCTCCAGAATTTGATCTTAAAATAGGTTGTGATGAAAATGGCACTTCTATTTGATCATCACTATAATATTCATAATTTGGGTAATTGCCATGATCATTATAATTATTGTTGGATGAATGTGTTGAACTGTATGTTGGGGTGCGAGAAAGTTGAATATATGGGAGTGGAGAGGTTGGAGGGGTTGGAGAGGTTGGAGGGGTTGGAGAGGTTGGAGAGGTTGGAAAGGCTGGAGAGGTTGGAGAGGTTGGAAAGGCTGGAGAGGTTGGAGAGGTTAGAAAGGCTGGAGAGGTTGGAGGATATGAATGCATAGAGGATGGACGATGCAGATGCATAAGAGTTGGATTTCGAGAAAGTAGATTGGATGGATGTGGAGAGCGCGGAGATTGTGGTTCATCTTTAAGTGTATAATCATTATCATTTCGATGCTTATCACATAACCATATGACATTCTGATTTTTTTTATCTATGCATTGGACCAAGCCTCCAAAATTTTCAGATTTTTGTTTACTTTTAATAAAACCTATGAAAAACAAAAATAATTTTAATTTTAATTGTAATTAGTTATAATAAAAATAAGTATGTTTAGAAAGAGTCAATTTTATGAATCTACTTACTTGCTAAAGCACGTATTCCAGAAGCATTTAAAACCTGACAATTACTTTCTCTATCATGTTCCAATGGAACTAAACCAGGATTAGTATCATCAATGATTTCTTTTACTCCAACACCAACTGTATCAATTATCTCTTGAAAATATTGAACAATTTCATCACTGTTGTCAATTTTTACATTAAATATTCTTGAAAGAATATTGCCTATTTCTTGTGGAAATAAATTACTGGTTACCGTACGTAATCCAAATACTAAGGCTTCAATACTAATAATGATAATTTATTTATTAGTCAATTTTAAAGAAATATATTTTT